ACCATGAGCACAGGTGACCACGTGCTGTCAGAGCAGCTCGTGGCTGCTGCAGGGAAATGCACTTTATTTCAGGTCACTTCAAAATCAACACAGGAATTCAACTCTCACATTAGGACCAACTAGAGGCTAATTACATAATTTCCCCAAGCAGGTGATGCTTTTATTTATTTATAAATATACATGACTGCTGGTTTCTGCTCTAAAAAAGACTGAGCGTCCAGCAAACCTCTCTATTAGCAGTGATTTGAAACACAACAAATCTTTCCAAAGCCACAGTGGTTGAATCATCAGGTATGTTGTTTTCAGAACTCTCAGCTAACACACTCAGAACAACCTCATAGGCACTACACAACAGCAGGACAGTGACATCTCTCCTCTCAGGAATTACTCAGTGTATTCTGGTGACATTACATACATATTAGTCAAATCCTCATCTTCCCTGACTCATGTGTAACCTTCTGATTACTTCCCAGAGATCATAACTAAGTCTTAGAAACATTAAAATGCACCACTTATTCTTAAAGAAAGAATTAAACATTTTCTCTAGGTTTTACTATGCATTCAGTTTTGAAGACAAACAAGGAAGTTTCTTCTAGATCTCTAGAAGAAATTTTAAAACATTTTAGATTAAAAGTAGAAAAATGCTTTTCTAAGCAGATGACAAAGCTGTTTTCCATGTACAAGACATGGCTCTGCTGTAGCACTCAGTCACCTACACCACTGTGATGTTTAATTTTATTTGTATCCTAATGCTGCTGAAAGGATTCCTTCAGCAAAATGAAATCTTTCCTATGTCTTCAAAAGCTCATAGAATTTTTCAGTATATAGTCATGGCCAGGTATTCAGAAACACCCTCATTATCCTGAAATCTCTCTTTCATAAGCCACCAATTGAAATCAAAGCACGGTGATAAAATGCCAGTTGGGATTAATGACCAAAAACATATTGCCAACGAGGGTATAAATTTCCATTTCTGAATCATCTCCAAGGGAAGGCAAATAGCCAGTTAGGAACAACAGGTATAGACGTGTCAAGCTCAGTGAGGGGGTGGAGTGGGGAAAGCCTTATTTAACCACTTTCTGAGGGACATGGGGACGCAGGGTGGAAAGCTGATATGCTGTTGCCATAGAGACAGAGTAATCGTCTCACTGATTTCTCCAGTGGTAACAGAACACTAGTGAAACAATAGCTCAAGAAAGCCACATAGAAATGCAAAGATTTCCTTGAAAATAAACTGCAGGACTGATTGCATGCAAATCTAAAAGCAGCTGTGACCCCAACACCTGATTTCTGCTCAGCACACAAGAGCTGCAGGTTTCTATGTTAATATGGTACTAAATAACAAGTCTATCAAGTCTCTCTTAAAAAGCTGCAAAATAGCAAGTTAGAGGATGCAAATTTCTTCAAACAACTGATTTGAAGGTCCAATCCTCCTCGAACAAAACACAAACCCAGTTCCTAATTTTTCCAGTTATTCATTGGAAGTTATTCATTATCAGGCAAAAGAAAATAGTTCCAAAAGAAAATGTAAACAGACTGGTGTCTTCAGTTTGACATTTATAATCCAACTTGCATCCTAAAAATAATTTGTTACGTTTTGAGTGCATTCTTACACAAACAGAGAAAAACCTCCTTCTCAAGCAGAGTTCTAAGTCAAGTATTCTTCCTTTGAGGCTTCTTTCTTTCTCAAAGAATGCCCAAACCCCAAACACTACCCACAAACTTGGACATACAGAAGCCAAAGACTGAATGTATCCTAAATGCAGCTTGGCAAATGTCACAGCAGAGATGCACAGGCCTGTATTTTCAGCTGTTTAAAATAAAATACAGGCCATCTTGCTCAATAATGAAACTCTCACACCAATCTGTGTCCTTGAATTCACAACCCTAACAGGTGTCAAAAGCCAAAGCTCTCCTTTTCTCTAACAGATCACAACCTTCAACAGCAGCATCAGGAGAACTGCACTGAATGGGAACTGTCCTTCTTTAAGGTGCAATAGTGTTTTCAACAGTTTACAGCTTATTTCAAAAGACAGATTTAAAGTTCTTTGTCATCCTGCCCAATGTCAGAGACATTGCTACTTTTTCATTTTTTTAGTTAGAGACTTGTTCTGCTGAGCCAGTCGGGATCTACTCTGTTGTTGTGCTTGATTTCAGTATTCATACCCAAATTACTTAAACTAAATAATCCTTTGCATAGTCCTTACTAACCATTTAAACATGCCATGATCATTTTTATCCCAGTAAGATCAGATGCAGACTGTCACTGAATATTTGAAGATACACATGGAAATGAAAGAAGTTTCATGTGTGCACAGTTCAAGTTAAACATGAGTCTTACACCTGTTTAATAAGAACAGAAGTGGATGCACAATAGCCAAGTTATCCAAACCCATGCCAAGAACCAATCCCTGACTTACCCTCCTATCAGGACCTGAGGCTTGCTTGAATCAGTCGTGACACCAAAGACATCAGGAATCAAGTCTCCATTAAAGCTGAAAATGCAAAACAATTTCAGTACCAACTCAGTCACTACAGGAGCTCAAATTAACTGCTCTTAAATTAACTTGGCTTTGGTTAGCATCTTCCCACCAAGCCACAAACAACCCTCAGCCGTGCAGTCCTTCCTGAATTGTGGCTCTTGCCTGAGCTGCTGGGAGCAGTAAGCTTTTCAGCACTTCACACTATGCCAGGCTTTTAGCTTTCCAGCTACACTGCCCCCCACTTTTACTCAGCATTTCACACGGAGAAAGGACACTGTGAAAGGGATATTTGCTCAGTATGATAAGGCAGTAAGGTTTTTGCTTTACAAATTCACCAAACAACAAATAGCTCTTTTTTCTGCCTAAGTCAGAGCATTGAAATTACAAAAATTAAAAGCTCGTGCAGTTCCTATTGCCAGAATGATATAATGTACAAGATTTGTAAAGATGACTGTTACAGTTCATCATCTTTTGTTAGATCAGCTGACATTACACAAACCTCCCTGTTCTTAAAATATAAAGAGCATGTGGTTCCAATTTTAGCATTAAAATGTATTCAAGTCACCACTATAAAAGTGGTTTCCTAAAAAAGTAGGTCATACTTACTCCATTACTAGAGGCTCATCATGAAAAGTCTTATTTAGCGTAGTTTTACGGTTAAGATCTGAAAACAGAAAATGTTAACTTGATTCAGTTATCAATATATTATGACATTTGCATTTTCAACTAAGACATTATTCTTCCATTAATTCGCAGCCATCAATTTTATGATTAAAAAGTAAATGAGGCACCACTGAGCACAAACAACTAAATGGCTTCCTGAAATTATGCAGGAAAGCTGAGTTACAGATAAAATGCTGAAGCTTCTTCTCTCTCCACTAAACTCTTCAACATTCTAAGCAGACCCCAAAACCCTCTCCTAGCAGAGTCAACAGAACACAGAGACTTCAAGAGCTCACACAGTCCATGACTCTCCCCAAAGACAGAATCAACTATACCTCAAACACCGCTAAAAGACTCTTGAAAACTTGATTCTAAAGCTCTTGAAAACTTCCAGCAGCAGATAGTCTAGAAACCTCTCTTCCCAAACCTGCTTTAGTGTGTCACTAGCCTTAAAGAATTTGGTTTAAGAGAAATAAGTGTTCCATTACTGCTGGTAGGTTATGCTATTTTGGAAGGTCACGCACCAAAGTTTACACCAGATTTTCTGTGAATTTAAAATTGAAGATAAACCTTTTGAGATGATCTCTGTGAAGCTGACACAATGGAGAAGCTGTGAGAAGCAGCTCTTCAGTTCATAGGTTACTGCCAAACCAGAACATTGTTTGGTCCTGTCTGTTGCAGGATACAGCACAAGCATTTTAGCTTTGTTCTCTTCCATTAATACAGTCTAATAGCAAGATAATACATGGGTGTGAAGCTGAATAGTTGCTCAACCCTATTTTTGCTGTAAAAACAATCACTCCCCTGTAAAATGAGTTGTAACTTGCTGGCAATACTTGGAATTATTAAGAAATCTAACAATGAATAAGCAGTTTCAGCAACTCACCTAACGTCTGGTTGTGTCCCCAGAAAATAAACACTGAAAGTTCATCTCTGCCATGACTTTGTGCCTGGGTAGTCAGGAGGACATCCATTTGGGAATCACCATCATAATCTCCAGGAACTACACTGGTTATGGTAACGCCCAGAGACCTGGAATTTTTTTTTTAAAAAAAAAGAACCCAACATGCAAATAATTGTAAAACTGTGTGCATGGAAGTTCAAAGTCCTTGTGTGTCCAAAAGTTTGCCCAGTTATTGTTAGTTGGTCCAATGTAATGTTATCCTTAACAACCTGGCTTATTGTATAGTCTTTATCTATTGCAAAGTATCTTTAGATCAGGCATTTGTCAGGCTGCCTTTGTCCAAGGATGAGGACATGTTTAATTCTAGACTTCAGCTACTGGACATTCCTCAGCCACATCCTGTCTGTTACTGCTAGCCAGACCTCATTAAACCCCTCCATTTCTTGTAGAGCCTCAAAACTGTGTTTCAGTGAGCAGGATCTCTGGTTGCAATCCAAGAGCAGTTCCATAAAGCAACAGGAGCAGTGTAAACAGTAGGACTCAGACACATAGACCTTTTAAAAGACAATGTCATTTCCTCCTATCTCTGCCACATCCTACCACTCCTCCCTGCTTTGTTTGTTCTTCCTACATTTTTCCATTTGCTTACCCACTCAGAGACTGCTCTACACAGGAACATGGATCACTCTGCTAAGGATTAAAAGCAGATTATTTCTAATGCACTAGATCAATTAGTTCCTTCCAAGACAGGAGGGAATAAGGAAAAATATAAATATGTAAAACTACAGCAGGTGAAGCTGAGCTGCAACAGCAATTTAGCTTCCAATAAACATAACACTAGTCATAAGCATTATTCAGAAGCAATAACCATAATAGTATTCCAGGATGTGTTAAAACTATACACATATATACATAAACAGATTGTTTTACACTTATTAGAACCTGATGCTTTTTTAAAGGGCACATTTAAACTTTAGAAAGGGACAGATCTCTACACAAATACCAGGACACCTTTCTCCATCTCTCTCTTAAAGCAGGTGATATTGGCTGGATTCCATTTGTCACTGCAGCAACTAGACCAGTTCCCCTGAAAACATGTCTTGGGACTGAGACTAAAATTACCTGCCACAAAGACTTCACCTATGATATGGAATGATAGTTTCCTTTACTAGGAAATCAAATCCTGAAAATCCAAAGCAGCTGCAAAAATATTTCAAGGTATGAGTATTGAAAATACTAATTCGAAGACAAAAAAAACAAAGCATGAAAACTCCACAGGGGGATAGGAAGTCACACCTGTTAGTTAACAACAGGAATGACAAAACTCATCTCCACAAATTCTGACATCTGACCAACAAAACCCAAAGAAACCAAAACAAAAATCAGGAAATGAACCAGAAAACTGCCAGACCACTGGAGCTCTAAGGGCAACTTGAACGAGCTAAACAAATAGCAGCACAGACAACTCTAGCCACGTTCCCACTGACTGCAGAGATGCACTTCCAAGAAAACCAGCCACTTCCACTGGATATCCACACTTACCTCATTGGCAACTTTACACGGGGCTTAAAGTAGGGCTCCTTTTGGTCAGCCAGAAAGATAACCAACTCATTTCCTGCGAAAGCAATAAGAGCATGAATAACAGAGGAAGATTGCAAATGGTTTACATACAAACCCAACATTTAAACATGCCACACATAGCCATTCCTCACGGCAGCAAACCCTTTCCCAGACCACTACTTCCTCCTCATCCAACAGGAAGCAAAAGGAGAACTTCTTCAACACAATCTACAAGGCTAATTGCAGCTTGAAGGAATGCTCATATCAAGAATCTCTTTGGGTTTAGTGTTAGAGCTTTCTGTTATTGCTATCACATACCTTAAAATAAAACCTTCTGTAATGAGCTAAGAAACATTAAATGTGGAAAAGATATAGGCACAGATAATTAAAGCTTAAAAGCTAACTCAAATTAATTCTGTTAACACTGTCTGGCATAGCAGACACTGCTTTCCCAAGTCAGCTACCAACAGCACTAAGTGAAACTCAAAAGTTCCTTGGCTCCCTGCAGCATTTCCCCACTTAGAGGCAATGATACAAGCAAGTATCATTTCATTATTTCAGAAAGATCTAAATAAAACCCATATTTTATGTTGCAGAAATAACTGAAATGCAGGGAAGAAAGAAAAGAATTTTAACTTGAACACTGAAATGAATTTTTCAGTCAGTAAATCACAATACAAACACACTTCAGCAAGTAAAACAACAGCTCACAGGAAAACAACTGTATTTTTTATCTCTTTTCTTCAGTCTCCAATAACCTCCCCTGTAGCATCCCAACCTGCCAGAACTGGGTTACCTATAAAAAAATAGTTCTATGGCTCCAAACTTGAGCTACCAGAGTGTTTGTCAAGAGTCTCACCCTGTGGCAAAGCTCACAGCTGTAAAACAGCAGAACACAAGCTTCATTGCAATGAAAAAAAGGTAACTGCCACTAAACCTATTTACAAAGGAGGATATGCCAACAAATGAGTAAATGAAAACAAACCCTTTGACAAAGGCTAGGGGAGAGCAGCACAGTCCCATCTGGCAAAGCTAATGGTGCCTGAGCTGAGCTGCACGTTGGTGGATGAGTGAGTGTTGGCACAGCCAAGGTGCAGAATCCTGCTGAGCTCTGGGGAATAACCTGTGGGCAGACTGCTAAAACCTGTCATTCCCATTTCACACTGCAGACTCTCACCTGCCTTTTTAGCTTCTATTTGGTGAAGTAATGATGATGAAGAAGCAAATGTGTTTTTACACGTAGCAGGTTCCAAGTCAGTTATACCATGGAGATATGAGATTTTATGGTCACTAAAAACAGATTAATGAAAATTTCAGCTCAGTGCTCACCAACAGCCAAAACAAAACAACTACTGGAAATTATGAGATGAAAAGAGTATCACTATGCCACTACATCAATCCACAGTGCACACTTTCAGATGCTGTTTATAGTTCTGTGTTCTCTGAGATGAGAGGACAAGAAAGGAAAAAAGTGCATTGGAAGGTGTGAAAGACAAGAACAGAATCCATCCAAACAACTGCTGCTTAGATTAGAGGTCTCCAGGCTGAACATGTGTGTGAGAGCACCACAGAAGCTTTCAAAATTCCCCAGTGAAATGCAGGTGGGCAGGGAATGATCCCTCACTGCCCTGTACTACGAGAAGAGGCATCAAACCTAACTAGGTGTCAGCTGAACAAGGAAACAGCAGGAGCTTCCCCACTTCTCCCTGTTCTGTGCATAGACTCACACAACAGGTAAGTGTATGCACTATCCCACTTATCTGCACCTTTTTAGTTATAAAAAGTGACTGAACCCAGGGTTCACTGGTAATTTTGAACTGGTCTCACAAGAAGATAGTTCTGGATCTAGATTACTTCTCCTGCTCAGAGTTTACCCTCTTGCACAGCTGTGAGTACAACCTGATGCTCTTTCAGCTGTGTGAGCATATGGAACATTACTCTCATTCAACTGAAGCAAGGCAGGAGCAGAATAGCAACATAAATTCAGCCAAGGCCCAAGACCTCATCCCCATTTCCTTGTTAAGGGTCAGGATTGTTAGGACAGAGTCCTGTGTTATCCCCAATGCCCTTTTCCTCACACTATTTAGAACTGGCTACTGCTTATTCTGACACTTAGAACTAATCTACTGCTATTTACAACTGGCTAATACTATTTGTTTGGAAGGTATTCTGTCAATTTTTCAAGGTACTTTTTGGCAAGACTTAAATTATGAAAATTAATGTTTTCAAGGAGGTTATTTCAGGCTGATTTTACAGTAAGCATCACAGAGGAAGGTGATTTAGCAGGTGCTGCTGTGCAGACACAAAGAAACCATGAATCTCGTTCCTAAAACTCAGCTATTCTCATGCTTATCTGCATCTCTCTGAAAGATAAAGAAGTAAAAATTAAATCTCCTATCTAGGCCATTCATTTTCAATCTAAGTGCTCAGTGAATATTTCCAGCAGATGAGCCAGTGGAGCATTCTGAAGGAGCAATGCATCTCAATAACTCAGCTAGATGGGAAAGTCACTCATGCTTTACCAATGCTACTTAGAGAGATGTTTCTGAGATGGGAGGAATAAAAAAGGTGAATCTAAGAATAAATCTATTATCTTAACACATAGCTTTATGTGAGTAAAATAATCCAAGAATAACATCTGCAAGTAATACTGACACTGCAAACTAGCTTTGACCTGGGGCCCCTCCACACACACCTGAAGCCTGAACAGAAACTCACGGTGGGTGACAAACATGTGAAACAAACTCCTCTACCCTCCCACTTCAATATATTAGTCATGACAGGACAATCTGCAGTTTATCCTCCTCACATACGTGGAATGTTCATCTGTTTCCCAAAACACTGCGAAAGCAGCAACAAACC